TTAAAGACTACATTCACAAATATAGAGATATTTGTGGAGTCTTGGTTTTTACTTAAATCTCAGCCACCTCAAAGTTCTGTTTCTTGTACATACTCTCTCGCTGTAACTTACCTGCCTTGTAGAACTTGTACTTACCTTTACTCTTTTCTCAGTTGGCAAGATGTTTCTGAAGTGGCTAAAATATGCAAATTAGGTGGGGTTTGGGTTTTTTTTTTTTTTTAAATGAAGTGTTACATGTCTTTAATCCCAGCACTCAGGAGGCAGAAGCAGGGAGATCTATGTGAATTCAAGGCCAGCTTGGTCTACATAGTGAGTTTCCAAAGCCAGTCAGAGCTACAAACTGAAACCCTGTCTCAAAAATAAAAAATAAAAAGGAAGGAAGGGAGGGAGGGAAGGAAGGAAAAGTTATGAAGTGAACTCACCCTTTCTCTTACATGATTCTGTTTTGACAGGGCACACAGTTGAGTAACCACTATTATAATTAAGATATAAAAGTTCCATCATCCTACAACATTCTCCTGTGCCATTATGTAGCCAGATCCTCCTCCTGCCCCAGCCACTGGCAAACACTGCTCAATCTTCTTTCCCCAAAGTTTCTGCTCTTGAATGTCATAAAATGGAAAGACCTGTTGGACAGCCTGTTGGTTCTTTCACAGCAGAAAGTGCAGTCAGCTGTGCCGTTCTGGGCTTCGACATTGTGCTCCTTTTTTTTTTGCCAGGTGGGATCCCACTGAATGGACATGCCATAGTTACTCTGTCCACTCACCAGTGGATATGATTATCAGTCACCATGGACATTTACATATACATCTTTGTATATGATTTTTGTTTTTCATGGGTAAATCCCTTGAAATAGGATTGTTGGTTTATATGCTAATTGAGTGTTTAACTTTGTAAAAAAATGCCGAACTGTTTCCAAAGTGACCAAACCCTGTAAGGTATGAATGAGCCAATTCATTTCCTTGGCTTCTTTCACAGGCCTTGTCACTGTCACTTTTTGAATAACTTTGTCCATCATATGGGGCTACAGGGAGACCCTGTCTCAAAAAGACCAAAAAAAAAAAAAAGAATAACTTACTGTGGTTTTAATTTGCTTTTCCCCAAGAATGGAGGATGTTGATTATCTTGTGCTTATTTTCCATCTGCAGATCTCTGATGAAGTGTCTGCTCAAATCTTTGACTTTTAAGATATTAAGTTAGCTTAATACTGAGTTTTGAGACTTTAAGATATAAATTCCTTAGCTGTATATTTGCAGCCTATGACCTTTTCATTCTTTATTTTTAATTTTATTTTTAATTATTTGTGGTGTGTGTGTGTGTGTGTGTGTGTGTGTGTGTGTGTGTATGTATGTGTGAGTGAGTGCAGATATTCAGGTGCCATGGCGTGCATGTGGAGGTCAGAGGACAATTTTCAGGAGTTGGTTCTCTCCTTCCTCTTTGACATGGATGGGTTCCAGGATGCAAGCATGCACAAATCAGGGCAATCCCAGTTGATACAAATTTAGTCTTGCTCCATGGCTGTGATCACGGGAGCACTGGGCTGCAGCTCTTATGTCATTCCAACCTGGCCTTTGGAAGAACAATTTTGTCATGCCAGCATTATGTGATATAAATGTGTGTTGGATCAAGACTAAGGGTCGCTAAGGAAGCTCCTTGAGGTTCGAGACTATTTTGTTGCCAGTCCTAGAACAGGGTCTAGCACTCAGGAAATAATGGTTGCGTACAATTCAGTGATCTTCATGAAGGATGAGACAGGATGCCCCAAGGCATCCAAGGCTGTGATGGTCAGGGTACAGCTAAGGAATGAGGTTCCTACTGTTACAGCAAAGTTTCAATATCAAGGTACAGCCAAGAGCTCTTGCCTGGGCCTCTTCTGCATCAGAACCACATGGAGAGTATGGAGAAAATCCCAAGACTTTGGCCTTGATTGGCATTCCTTGGTGGTTTCAGTTCCTGAAGGAGGAACTTGGGTTAGGACACACCAACATTCAGGGAAGAATGTGTGTTAGGGAGCTGAGTTTCTGTAACTGGGTGACTGGAAACCTTTGTGGAGTTTGGCCCATCTGGCATGGCTGGTGAGCCTTCTCTCTGCCTGGAGGACTATACCTAATTCTTCCCTGCCCCCTCAGCGTGGAGGGGGTTAGGACCAAGGTTGAAGTCATTTGCAGAGCTGAAGCCAGGCTAGGCTGTCTGTGGTGGAGGCCAGCTCATCTCCTCCCTAACGCCCCAAGTTTGTCCTAGTGCTATTTTGGCCTGTGGTATGTGGTTTTAGCAAGTGGGCCAGTTTGTAATCACGACACAATTACATCTTTTAAGGGTTGAGTGAGTATGCCAGGAGAGGAAACTGCTAAAGAGATTTTCCTCAACTGGTAAGGCCTTGTCCCTGTGTCTTACTTAAAAGGTAATACTAGAGCAAAAAAGGGAAAGTGTTAAGTGTGCGTGCATCGGTGTGTGTGTGTATGTGTGTCTGGTGTGTCTAGAGGGGAGGTGGTGGCAGTTGGCTCTGGCAGGGAGGCAGCAATTCATATAAAGTGGTCCCAGCTGCCCCTGGTTTTTGGGCTAATCCTGGCCCTGCTCCAGCCTGTCATTCAGGGTAAGCTGCTATCATTAGTGGTTAAACATTGCTGAAAGTATTCTCTCTCAACTCTGACCGCATGCCCTTTCAAGGAAGGGAGGGAGGGGCCAGAGAGCAATGGGGCCCACCCTGTTGTCCTCCTGCAGCTGCTCTGCAGAAGGGACAAGGAAGCCTGGCCACTGAAGTAATCAGGGCTTGTCAAAGCCTGTGCGTCTAACCTGTGCTACTGGACTATGTGCCTGGCAGGATCTGCTGCTTCTGCTCCTGAGGGACAGAGCCAGTCCTGAAGGCTGTGGGTTCCAAACCAGGGAGGCCTTTTTTGCCCTTGTAAGGAGCTTCTTGGCTAGAACAGACCTTCTATTAACCAATTTCACCTCTTTCTTGCTCTCTGTACTTGACACATGCGCACACTGAGCCATGCTGGCTGGTTGCTGGGGACGTCTATCCCTCTGGAACTGTGTATGCTCTTTCTGCTTTCGATGAGTTGTGGTGAAGTGCTTAATAGTAATGCTGCTTCCCATGAAGTGGGGACTTCGAAATCCTTGTCTTTGACTGAGGTATGGTTGACAGCGTTTGATTTATGAAGTGAGCTCAGGTGAAAAGAAGATGTAAAAAGAGTGCAAACTGAATCATGATTTCCATAGTTAAGCTGTGCCCTCTCCACCTGTAGTGACCACGCTGGCTTTAGCTCCTTGGCTTCCAGGAACTGTTTGGACGTGGGGCAGGGGTGTCTCTCTTGCTATTGCTGTCCCTCACTGTATTTTGAGATAAAAGTCTCACTCTGTAGCCCTTGCTGGTATGGTACATGTTGTATGAGGGGGGTAGCCCAGGCTATCCTCGAATTCACAGCAGTTCCCCTGACTTAGCTTCCTGAGTGCTGGTACGACAGAGATGTGCCACCACATCTGGTTTGTCTCCCTGCCCCACCCCAAGAAAAACTATTCTTTTTCTTAAAAAAAAAATGTATAGGTTGTTTTCCTTCTCAGGAGTATGTAAGTTCAGAGAAGGAAACTAGAAAAATCTAAGAGCACAAAAGTAAAAACAAAGCATCCACACTCCCACCAGGCAAAGATGATCACCATCTTGTTACAAGAATCTGTTATTGAGAGGTAGCTGATGGGAGATTCCTGTCGTTCCCCCCCCCCCAAAGACTAGCTGTTCACTGGGATGTCCACAGGCTCGTCCTAACACACTGGAGCAGAAATTCCCACTAGCAGGGAACTCTGGTGGTTGTGGATCCTCCCAGGAAGGAACTTTCTGTTATAGGTCAAGTCTTGCCATTGGCCCAGTGATGGGTAGAATTGCAAGCCCAGCCTTTCTGCCTCTGTCCTCCATCTAATGAGGGGCTGGGGAAGTCACACTCCTTGGATGAGCTATGTGTGCTGGGGAAGTCACACGCTTGGATGACCATGCTTACTTCCTATGGAACATACTGGTGTTTGCTTGTTTACCTGGAAATGGAGGTAATAGGAGTAAGTAAGTGGCCGAGCTAAAGGAGATAGCATGGTAAAGTGCACAGCACCGGCAGGCGCTGTTACAGCTTCATGAACACGGGATTCGTCCGTGGTTGTTGTGTCACTTCTGCTGTTGATGGTCCTACTGCCCCACGCTAAGTTGCATTACTCTCTCAGCCTCTGGTACCTGGCTCCTTCATTCAATGATACCATCCAAACCATCTTGTGGCAAATAGTGAGTAAAGGACATACCAATAATTTCCTATGGTGAAAGAGCTGAACTGCAGAGCAGGGAGGCTTAGATGTTTTCAACGAGTGGAGCGAAGGCAAGCTACAAAAAGAACTTGAGAACATGCTGTGCTCGCTGCCTTGTGCCCTGGGAAGATGTCAGATAGATTTCTTCTCCCACCCTCTTGTGGTGCGGACCATCTCTGCACTGTTCTCATTGACATGGGAGAGCTGCTGAGTTGTCTTGTCTAGGTAAGCTGGCCCCCATATGCATTGACTAAAGCTGTTTAATGGCTCCAAGAACATCAGCTTTAGAGAATAAACTTTCCAGCTATGGAGAAAATTGATTTGGATCAGTTGGGACCCTATTTACCTAATGGGAGAAATATTTCATCTGCAGCCTGTCCAGGAATTCTTGTTTATTTCTAACATTTAAGCCCAATAAAAATAATGTGATGGTCACAGGATATTTTGCCAGTCATTTCAGATGTGGGGCAATTCACTCCGAGTTTGTTTACTTCAAGTGGAAAAGTTTGCACAAAACTGCCTTTTGGGCTTTTACCAAGAAGGAAGGTTCCCTGGGTCTCCGCTGGGAGCCAGCTTCTGTTGAGTCAAAACTAGAGGGGCGATTGCAGGTCTCGCCTCCAATAAATAGCAAGAGCAGTAAACGCGATGGCTCAGGGCATGCTCCTTTCTTTTCCACAGTGACTTATACCTGTCTGCTTTGTACTCTGAACCCCCAGGACGCACAGACATTCAGGTGGTTCAACCAGAGCAACCACAGCAACCAGCGAGCAAAGCCCTGGTGCTAGGAACCGACACCGCCAACCCGTCAAGAACCCAAGCCACAGTGGCCTCGCCAATGGCACAGGTGAGATACCATGCAGCAGCCACCGGAGGACAGGGGATGCGCTTGTGTGTCCTGCCTTGCACTTGGGACTCTGCCCTATGTGCCAGATATAGTGGGACAAGAAGACTCCAGGACTTAGGTGAATTCGAGTCCATAATATCTTCTTTGATCTCTGGCTTATTCTGGACAGCCAAGGTTACTCTCTGTGTTACTGTGTGCATGTCTGAAATGCTGCTTTGCACCTGGGGATGTAGCTCAGTTGGCAATGTTTGCCTAGCACACATGAGACCTTGGGCTCAGTCCTCAGCACTGCATAAAACTGGGCTTTCAGGTGCATGCCTATAAACCACCATTTGAGAGGTAGAGGAGGGAGGATCAGAAGTTCAACTCAGCAACATGGCAAGTTTGAGACTAGCCTGGGATCCTGTTTCAGAAAATAAACATAGACAATAAAATACTTGGGGCTGAGAGATGGCTCAGAGCACAGAGGACCTAGGTTCGGTTCCCAGTACCCACATGGTGGCTAATAACTGTCCATAACTCCAGTTTCAGGGGATCTGATGCCCTCTTCTGGCCTCCGTGGGCATTGCATGAGGTACAATATATGTAGGCAATATACTCATACACATAAAATAAAACAAAAATTAAAAAATAATGAAGCTGGGCGTAGTGGCGCATGCCTGTAGTCCTAGTGCTTGGGAGGCAGAGGCAGGTGGATCTCTGTGAACTCAAGTCCTGGTCTGGAGCTACAGGGAGACCCTGTTTCAAAAAGACTGAAAAAAAAAAAAAGGCAAAATACTTTGTATAGATGTAAAAGGCATTGTTTTTCCATTAATTTCTTATCAATATTGGGTTTCCTTTTGGGGAAATCCTATTTATACATGACACATTTGAAAAAAAAATTCCCTGATTTAGGGAGATTATCAGACTAGGGAAAGAAAAGACTAAGTTGTGGATAAGAGCTGACTTGGAGAAGATGAAGGGTCAGGCTGGACAGGTGTGAAGGTAGGTCACCACAGGGAGCTGCTCTCACCATTCCAGTGTGGATGCCATTGGAGAAGACAGTTGAACCTGTCCACATCCAAGACCTTCTACACTTGGCTCTGCTCCCCTGTTCCCTGTTATAAAATAAGTCATTTTTTCCCACTCCATTTCTCTCTGTCTAATTGAGACAGTGTCAAAAAACAAGCATTTTCTTAAGTTCTTGAAGACTGTCAAATCTTTTTTAAAAACATTTTATTTATTATGTTTATTTTATGTGTATGAGTGTATCGCCTCCATGTATGTGAGTGTACCCACATTGCGCAGTGCCTCAGAGGTCAGAAGAGGGTGTCGGATTCCCCTGGAACTGGAGTAAAGGACAGTTTATAACCACTGTGTGGGTGCTGGGAATCGTACCTGGGTTCTCTGCAAGAGCAGTCAGTTCTCTTAAGCACTGAGCCATTTCTCCAGCCCCATGACTGTCAAATCTTTAGTGACCACTGGTTATTTGGCCATTATCTTCACTTGGGGAAGATGGGAGGAGATGTGGATGTTTGCTTCCACGAACTGTAGATGGAAGGAATGCAAGTATTCAAATCAGGAGTGATGCTGAACTTATTTCATAGATGCCTGTTTATGAGTGCAGAGATGTGGTACCAAGGTCAAGAGATCCACAGCACATAGTTTGTTGTCATGGCAATGTTATTGACCCATGCGTGACACACTTCCTGAGTAGAGCTATCCTTGGGTTGCTTGTCAGAACTTCCAGTTCTCTGGTAGCAGTGTGTGGGGGCATCAGAGCCCCTCTGGTAGCTCATTGCCTCATTACCTCATAGTGTACAAGGGATGGCAGGATGAGTAACCTGTGTCCAGCAAGGCTGCTGCGAGCCCAGTGGCATGACTTGACTTCCTTCCTGGAGCTGGAGAGTTGCCTGCAAGAGGAGAGTTAACCAGCTGAACTTTGGAGATGCTGGCCCAGTGCTCATGTGCTAACCACTGTTAGCACATGAGGCTAGAACCTTCCCAAGTGCATGAAGGGACAGCAAGCAGTGACTACAGACTGCTACACAGACCCACGAATAGCTCTGTGAGCACCAGCAAACATGCTTTTCTTAGAAATAGGTGGTTTGTGGAGGAGCTTGTAGTAGACTTGCTGGATACAGGCTATGCCACCCTGCATCTCTTGTACACAATAGGATGGCCAGGTAACAAATGGAACCGGGTTCAGCGGCCCAACTACAAGTCACTGTACCCTTCCAGGGCTCTGTGTTACTGTGATAGTAGTTCCCTCTACGAGTCACCGTACCCTTCCAGGGCTCTGTGTTACTGTGATAGTAGTTCCCTCTACGAGTCACCGTACCCTTCCAGGGCTCTGTGTTACTGTGATAGTAGTTCCCTCTACGAGTCACCGTACCCTTCCAGGGCTCTGTGTTACTGTGATAGTAGTTCCCTCTACGAGTCACCGTACCCTTCCAGGGCTCTGTGTTACTGTGATAGTAGTTCCCTCTACGAGTCACCGTACCCTTCCAGGGCTCTGTGTTACTGTGATAGTAGTTCCCTCTACGAGTCACCGTACCCTTCCAGGGCTCTGTGTTACTGTGATAGTAGTTCCCTCTACGAGTCACCGTACCCTTCCAGGGCTCTGTGTTACTGTGATAGTAGTTCCCTCTACGAGTCACCGTACCCTTCCAGGGCTCTGTGTTACTGTGATAGTAGTTCCCTCTACGAGTCACCGTACCCTTCCAGGGCTCTGTGTTACTGTGATAGTAGTTCCCTCTACGAGTCACCGTACCCTTCCAGGGCTCTGTGTTACTGTGATAGTAGTTCCCTCTACGAGTCACCGTACCCTTCCAGGGCTCTGTGTTACTGTGATAGTAGTTCCCTCTACGAGTCACCGTACCCTTCCAGGGCTCTGTGTTACTGTGATAGTAGTTCCCTCTACGAGTCACCGTACCCTTCCAGGGCTCTGTGTTACTGTGATAGTAGTTCCCTCTACGAGTCACCGTACCCTTCCAGGGCTCTGTGTTACTGTGATAGTAGTTCCCTCTACGAGTCACCGTACCCTTCCAGGGCTCTGTGTTACTGTGATAGTAGTTCCCTCTACGAGTCACCGTACCCTTCCAGGGCTCTGTGTTACTGTGATAGTAGTTCCCTCTACGAGTCACCGTACCCTTCCAGGGCTCTGTGTTACTGTGATAGTAGTTCCCTCTACGAGTCACCGTACCCTTCCAGGGCTCTGTGTTACTGTGATAGTAGTTCCCTCTACGAGTCACCGTACCCTTCCAGGGCTCTGTGTTACGGTGATAGTAGTTCCCTCAGCCGTTTTTTATAAAAACTATTGGTAAGTTGACTTCATGTTGTGATGGTTCTGGAGCCGATCTTCTTGGATAGTGAAAGATTTATTTTTAATTTTTAAAATTTGTGTGTGTGTGTGTATCTGCATGTGAATACAGGTACCTGTGGAGGCCCCAGGCATCAAATCTCCCTGGAGTGAGTTATAAGCTGTTGTTGTGAGCCACCTGACATGGGTGCTGGGAACTGGGTTCAGATCTTCTGTAAGAGTAGTACCCGCTTTTTATTGCTGAGCCATCTCTCTAGCCCTTTATGGATATTTAAGCAGATCTTTATTTGTCTAATATTTAGTGTTAGGTACCTTTCCTTCTTGTCCTTATCTCCAGGAACTTTATGTTCCAGCCCATGAGGTAGGTGCTAGGCATGTCTTTGGAAAGCCAAGTGTGTCTAGCTCCAGACTGCCTTGGAAATGTTTTTATGGTGGTGTGTCTGAATGCCCTAACTGTTCCTAAGACCTAACTGTGAAAGGCACTAGTTGTGCTTCAGGGATTCTTGCCCATTAAAATGCGAAGGTCTTGGCCTCTGCCTCCCCTCTTTCTGCTCCCCACTTGGCTGTATAGGATGTGGATGAGGATGTCTCCATCCCTCCCTGTTGGGGAGAACCAGTTCCCAGATGGTGGTATAGGAACCAGGCCTCCTGACAGGGTTTTCACAGGCAAGGTTAGGTTAACAGCTGCCCTTTCGGCTGTATAGTGCACTTAAGTAAAAGACATTTGGGGCAAAACGAGAGCCCAGTGCCAGGTGGATTTTTTTCATGTTGTTACAACTATAAAGTATCCATTTTTATAAAATGAGGGAGAATGACAGCCTGTCTATATAAATGCACTGTATCTAAGTTTTAGAAGTGGTAGAATGGAGAAATATACTAATGGTATAGCACATCACTGAGATGTGTGTGGAATGATTTGCTCTTTAAGTACATCTGCTGATGTTCCCTTAAAAACAGTTTCCTATTCATTGGTCACACAGGCTGTGGTAGAATCCGAACTCCTTGGTATGTGTCTGAGGCCCAGTGACTTGCTAGGCCTTCATGTTCTGAACTGAAAAAAGGGCCGGGGTTTGTATCTCATAAGTTATTATGTGGAATACATTATACAAAACATATAGAAGGATTGGTGGGAGGAAATTAAAAACAAAAAACACAGAGTGTATAGTATGGTGCCTGGTACACAGCTTTTATCTTTATAAATAATTTAATATAGTTATAATTATGTT